CGCCCAAAAGGTCCTGGCCGGGAACCAAATTAAACAAGGCAAAAAAATCCCCAAGAAACTCAAGCGTAAGACCCCAGGAGCAAAAAACGCCGCGGGGGGAAGAACCACAGGAACTACATCAGCAGCACATAAAAAAGAATAATCCTCAGCACCTCAGCAACAAAACAACAAAAAAAACTTATAACAACAAATTATTTCATGTCCTCACCTGAGTCGATTACTTTATTTTTATGTGCCATGTTTTATGGGTGTTCTACTTTACTTATTTTACTAATCAGACTGATACGAGCACGTTTGCTCTTGTCGCCTGCTACAAGTGCGACAAGAGCAAAATTCTATGTAAAAATGAAGTGGTAGGAGTTGAAAAAACGGACGGTTAAGAAATGAAATATTTTATTGTATCAGATATATCTAATAGATAATTTAGAAATTGTTATTGACGTTCCATACTTTATTTTACATATAAAATATTAGCAGGATAGCACGGCATTGACCTGGGTAGAAAATCTTAGCAATCTGATTATCCCGCTATTCTGAACCTCGTTATTCCGAATTCCGTCATACGGAACCACGTCATCACGGATCCAGTTAATAATTTCGAAACTTAGGTAGGTACGGTATTTAAAACAGAGGACCGTTCAAACCGACATTTTGCCCAAAACTCCAAAACGTGTTATGGAATTTGAACTTTTAATTAATTGTATAAAATTGTCATCTAACAATTTGAAAGTAACTTTAATAACATAATGATAACTTCATAATTTGCGATCGAACTTTTCCCCTCCCTTTTCAATGTCCCAGGATTCCACCATGACACGATAAGTACCATGGATTCGCGCCCCAACAGCCCCCTTATACAATATACCGACACTATATATAAGGATCCTGGTCACTATATATAAGGATCGCCCCCTCAGCCCATATACAATATCCCGACACGATAAGTATCCCGGAAATGCAACCCAACTGCCCCTACATACAATACCCCGACACGATAACAATCCTAGACACGCGCCCCAACAGCCCCTACAGACAATATCCCGACACGATAAGTATCATGGATATGCACTCCGACGGCCCCCCCAATATTTTATATCCCAATATGTATTCTGGATATGCGCCCCAATAGCTCCTATATACAATACCCCTGCACGATATGTAACCAGGACACGTTCGCGCCTCAACAGCTCCTTTACATTTTGGGCACATCTCAATGCTTCAAACACCTAAAATTGGACAAATATATAGAAATTATTCCTATTGCTTTAGAAATGGCATTTCGCAGACCCTTTTTTTCGCTTATTTGAATGAAGTTCACTTGTAATGGAGTTTGGCGAGAGAAAATAGAAGGAACGCTCAGCTCGTTCGCGTTATCTAGCCGGCTATTGTATCTCACTATCCACTTCACAACTTGAGGTACGGGAAGCTATATAGTGAGTGGAAACGAAATTCGCATCACAAGTTCATCACACGTCACGCTGAAAAGTGCTTTCTGAAAATAATGTAACATCCAATTATATAATTTCGTTGTGCTATAACAACTTTCTTCAGATATTTGAAACTTATCTTTGCTTGATTCACTGTTCATATAGATCAACACAACGACTTGAACTTCATTATAGTTCAACATCAAGATTTTACATTCATTATAGTTCAGCATCATGACTTGACATTCATATTAGTTCAACATCATGACTTGACATTCATATTAGTTCAACATCAACACTTGACATTCACATTAGTTCAACATCCCGACTTGACGTTCATTATAGTTCGACATCACGATTTGACACATTTATTTTAGTTCAACATCAAGTCTTAACATTCATATCAGTTGACATTCCCAACTGATACCCAACATAACGACTTGACATTCACATTAGTTCAACATCTCGACATGACATTCATTATAATTCAACATAACGACTTGACGTTCATTATAGTTCAACATCACGATTTGACATGCATTTTAGTTCAACATCACGACTTGACATGCATATTAGTCCAACATCACGACTTGACATTCATATTAGTTCAACATAACGACTTGATATTCATTATAGTTCAACATCCCGACTTGAATTCATTATAGCTCAACATCATGACCTGACATTCATTATTGCTCAACAGCAAGTCTTCACATTCATATTAGTTGAACATCACGGCTTTACATTCATGTTAGTTTAACATCACGACTCGACATTCAAATTAGTTCACCATCCCAACTTGATATTTCGACATCACGACTTGAATTTCATATAAGTTCATAATCTCGACTTGACATTCATCATAGTTCAACATCTCGACAAGACATTCATTATAGTTCAAAATAACGGCTTGACATTCGTTATAGTTCAACATTCCGGGTTGACACTCAATATGGTTCAATATCCTGACTTGATATTCATTATAGTTCAACATCCCGACTTGACGTTCATTATAGTTCAACATCACGACCTTACATTCCCCGTATCACCAGCTCACTTTGAGGCGACACGGCATTTCTTTGTGTTTTGTGCTCAGATATTCTTTAATCATTTACAAAATGAGCAATCAATTTTATTTTATTTCGTTTTCTCATTGTTTATTCCTTGAAATTAGTATATAGCCGTGTACTTTTCTATTTTTTGTTAGGTTGTCAAACTGCAAATTTTGCTTGCAGTTCTCTCTTGCAAGTCACGCTTCGAAAATTGCTTTTACTCGTTTTCTGTAACCAATGAAAATGGTTTCTATGTTTGTTTTAAAATAGAATGAATCTATAGATATTTTTTTATCTAATAAATTTTCGCTCAACAATATAATTACTAATGCCCTTGAAGATTATCAGATGTCCATTCTATTATAGGATGTCAAAGGCCTTATTCCAATACAATAATAGAAAATATAGCCGCATCTTCCCAATTATGTTTAAATTCGGGCGTTGAGAATATAATAGAACAGAGGTAGTGCTATTATTTGCAAGTCTAGTGCTACTATGAACTGCGCTCAGAACTACTATTAATATTAACTGTTCGGCTGAATATTTTAGGTGAGGCAAGAATGCAATTCAGTTAAACACATAATTAACACATAATTGTTAAACACATTGCATTGGTTAGGCGACGATAAAGCTGGGACAAATATCATTGTTGTAAATATGAACGAATGATGGACCTCCTTCGCATACTCACGACCAGATTCATGTAAATTATCATGTAGTTATATACAGAATATATTCGAATCATTCGTGTCACTAGCGTAACATTGAACATGACGCGACGTTCAACACGCTGAATATCCTCAGCTAGAACGTAAATAAATTAGATGGATGCTAAATGGATAAATAAAAATACAACTCAGTACTCACTGCAGTAAGTGACAGAACGCAATCGCAATTTCTCAAAATCTACGAAAACATGAAGTCACGGACAGACGGACGGACGGACGGACATGACGAGAACAATAGCGTCTTTTTTCCATAAATAAGAAAATGCGCTAAAAATGGACGAAATCTCAACAAATCCAACATGGACATTACAGCAAAAATGCTCTTCGTTTGGTAGAGAAAAATTGGGAACAATGGGACAATAATTAAAGTGGGGTACAATAGGACTATAATAATTGAAGTGGAGAACAATGGGACTACAATAATTAACGTGAGGTGCAATAGGACTATAACAACTAAAGTGGGGTAAAATGGGACTATAATAACTATAGTGGGGTACAATGAGACTGTAATAATTAAATAAAAAAACACGATTATGTACTTTTTTTAAAATACAACATGCAAAATAGAGGCATCAAATGTCATGCTTTGTACCTAAGCAATGATAGCAATGATTGTACCTAAGCAATGAACTGTACTATTGACATTGGGACATTTTACCTAATTATATCAGAATTATACACAAATTTCACTTTAGAATTTCGTATTTTGGTTGTTCCGCGCATTTAGTAGGATTGCAATGAATGAAATTAATGTCTTCCCTTCTGACTGTTGTAAGATCAACTGCATCAGTAAAAACAAAATGTCCGATTTTACGATTTTTATGATTCCCGTAATATTTTGTAATAATTACAATGATGATTTCTAATTGTAAACTTCATAATTTAATTGATCCTTCAATACTCATGAACAGGTTGTTGTGGTCGTAAAGAAAGAGAAATATAACAATGAAGATCGCCTTGTGCCTGCAGATATTGCTAGTCATGAGTGAGTAACATCTTTTTATCACTGTAAATAACCGTATATTAGGGTAAGGGGCTAGTTGTCTTTTGGCCTCTTCGAATCTATTCACATACAATTAGAAAATACAAAATTAGAATTAATAATGAATAATCACTGTACTAAGTATAAGTCTAAATTAAAACCCGTCAATATTATACGACTGGGTAGAACAAAAATATAAAGTCAGGGAACTTAGGTTCATACATCTAAATGAGAGAAGTCGATGGTTTAATGTTTATTTCTAGAAGTCATTTGCTCATGTCAATAATGCTTCATGTCAATAAAGTACTTTGATTTTTTGACCAGCTCAAATGAGACTATTTAAATTATCAATTGCTTAATGGTAACTGTAAACGAATAACCGTTGTGAGTCTCGTAACGGCATAACAATATCTGCAATGACACATTAATAATTTATCTAGTGAAGCCTTTACACGTTCGCGAGATATACATCTAGTACAACAGCGTGAAGAATGTTGAGACACTAAAGTTGATAAAGACTCCAGTCATTAAAAGCTTTGGCACGGCACAACGGTAGTTGAATTTGGTAGAGCTAAATCAACTTCGTTGTTGAATTTCTTCTAAATTTGAAGCAAAATGCAAAGAAATAGTTTCTTTCATATAAGCTGATTTGCGTCTAAAGCGGCATGCGATAGCGCTTTCGAAATTATTAAATTATTAGTGCATTTATTGATTGTTTTAATAATTCTCATTTGCATAATTTTTCTTCTACGATGTAGAGCATTTCAATCTAAGAATTGATTCATTCATTGCAATATAAATACAATTGTAGGCACAGCGACGGCCGAGTACTCTCGTACGACCAGGCGGTCGCCTACTGCCTTCAGCTCTTCGGCAGGCTACCCGTCCTCCATGACGTGGCCGCCTTTACTGACGTCGCCACTTTCGTAAACGATGGATGTGAGGTTATAAAAACACGATAACTCTTGATGCGAGGTTTCATACTGTTGTCATTTAGAGGAAAGTAGGAACTTTCTCTAGAGATAACACAGTATTTAAGTAGGAAAAAAGTTTAAGACAGGGCTTAGTTTATTACCTCGTTTGGAAGTGGTATCGAGTCGTCAGGGAACAACGGAACACAAAGGTAACACCATTCTCAATAAACTTGATAAACTGAACTCCTTAGAGCTCGGGGTGTGATGACACTCTTTATGTGTTACCTATTTATCTCTGTTCACTTCACAGAACTTCGTGTTCAACTCTATCTGGCTTTGTAATGGCAATTAAGATATAATACAGCATTTGTAAATAAGTTTGCCGCGTTAAATACACGTAAAACGAATTTTCCATCAGACTCAGCAAACACTAACAACGGCTACTGGTTAGGCGCGACCAACTCAACTGCCACGCACGTCTGGCAATGGAGCGACGGCTCGGCTGTGCAGATCGGCCCTCCATTCTGGGCTTACGTGAGTGACGAATTGTGTCATACGAATTCAGGATAATCAAAATGATGAAAAATAATATACATAGAATTTAATTAGGGCTATGTTTACTACAGTCTAAATATTTTGAAATTTTTCTTTAAAAAAATCCTAATTTAAAGGGGCGCATGCAGAGGCCAGCTTCCCCTAACTTTGCAGTTTGGTTTTTATTCTCTTCCGTGAGCAAGCAAGTTAGAGGGCACAGTCGTCTACGAGGTTAAATTTTTAATGCCATTAAAAATTTAATTTTTAACTGCATTAAAAAGTGCATAATCCACGCAAGTCCACAAGCACTACCTCACAAAACTCGCTCTCAAGCAGGCAGAAACGCATCTGGCCTAACCTAATTCCGTTAGCCTGATTTTCCACCTTAAACAAACCAGACCAGACCTAACCTCATTAGCTGCGGAAAGTGGCAAGGCGAGGCTTATTTTAGAGTAGAAATGGTGGCCTACGTTTGCGGTCCCAAATTGAACAATAGTAAACAGTGACTACGATTTTTGCAGTATTTTGCTTTGAAAGTAAACATATCAGCATATCAAACATTCGAATATGCCATCTGTACAAGATGCCGTGTAACGTGAGTTTCGGTGGTTTGTTTCACGGTAGCATGACATGCCTATGCTTACTCCATGCTTACTCAGAATGCTCCATCGAAAGGGGTATTCGAACCCAATGGCGGGAGGACGGAGGGCTGTGCCGGGCTCTATTCCTCTGAGGACTGGGCGTTCCATGACTTACCTTGTAACAATGTCTGGAAGCCACTGTGCTCGAGTAATCCGGTGAATGGTGAGGAATTCTGTAAAAATAACATTCAGCACGAAGAAAACAGAATTTTTTAGTTGTATATTCATCCAGCTAGTAAGTGCGTATAAAGTAGCAGCAACACATTAATTAATGCAGTTGTACATCACATTAATTTTCATTTCCACACAGGCCTATGCGCACATCCGTTTATTTTGGTGGGTACGCAGTGCGTTCACGTAATTCTCACAGAACACAACTGGAGTGACGCGCGCACTCAGTGTGGATTGGTCGGTGGAGACTTGATCATTCTAGATGACTACTACAAGTTCAGAAAGCTGTTCTTCTATCTCCAGCAGTTTATAAAAGGTGACAAAATACACGGCAAATTTAATTTTGATTGATCAATGTTGATAACATAGATATTCGAATTTCTTACATTTGATCCGACTTCCACAATAACGGATGAAGTTGAGATTATTAGAAGGACTGACGCCAATCTGTTATTGTGAGGAACCTTTTTTTAAATTAAATCGTTTCCATTTTCCTTCATCTGACATACCTGATGGCTTGAGGTATAAGATATCGCATCAATATTATTTATTTATAGACTAAATGAACTAAGAATTTAAAGTATGTATCATGCCATGCTTCAAAATTGCCCAGATTTATTATTCATGATCTTATTTCAAATGCATTGTTTTTTTCTTGCCTTTAAAAGATTGGAATCTAAGGATACTGTGGATTGGTGGCTCAGACTTAGCCGTGCAGGGGCAATGGCGCTGGATTGACGGTTCGAAGATGGCCATGGGGCTGCCATACTGGGGGACGGTGAGTGAAATTATCGTAGTTAACAATAGTGAAATAGACTAAACATGGTGCTCTATAATCAACCGAACAGTTACTTCGACCCTTCTCCAATTATCTTAAACGTAGTAGTTAAATCGCTCATAAGTTTTTCATCTCATAAACCACATATCATTCAGAATCAAATCAAATATCACTCCGCATATCAAAAAGTTAGTACTTGTTTATAGAAGATTTTCTGAACGAAAGAAACGCCACCACATACTGAACACCTTGTGTGAGAATCAAACATCAGAAGTTGGAGACATTCAAGATTTTGGTGCTGGACCAAACTTGAGGGCATTTATGATCGGAAAGTTCTCCGTGATCACGAAGCATTATCCATGGTGCATGCCTCGATACGTCAACAACTCGTACTTGTGTGACCTCAGGCTCATCCTGCGACCATTGCTTGTTCATATTTGTTGCCAACGACAATTTTTTTAATTTTCATTTGATTATCCTTTAAATAACGTGAAATAGTGTGAATTTACCTAGATGTTTTTTGTTTCTATCATTCATGTGTCATTTCCAATTTTAGCAAACAAATAATCAAGACTCAAGAAAATAAATTGTTCCAATATAGAATATTCCGGGAGGAAGAGTTTTTTGAAAATTTTGACTGTTTTGCCCTAGTTTTCGTGGAAATAAATGCGGTTTATTTGAATAAAGCTTCCGTTAGTGTGATACAAGTTAATTTATTTAAAAATATGCATCAGTTTTATTTATTCAATAACTTGCCTATTTTTAACCGTTGTTTCCTATCCGTATCAACTATGTATATATAAGGTCATACGTTGAAACTTGACTATTTATTTCCATTAGTCTGCCGTTGGACATCTAGAACCCGACAACCCTGGCGTGGAGAACTGCCTAGAGCTCAGTTCTGTGTGGAGGTACAGGTTCTCCAACACGCTGTGCTTCAATACGCGACGTGTGATCTGCGAGGCACAGCCCTTCTAGATCTGCGAGGCACAGCCCCTCTATAGATCTGCGGCGCAGCTTTTTTAGATCTACGAGACATAGCCCTTCTAGAGGAATACTTTTCATTTAAAAATGCTGTAAAATCCCTAAAGAACGCACCATTAGAACACTACATAAGAACACACCATAAGAACACACCAAAGGAACACACCAAAGGAACACACTATAAGAACACACCATAAGAACACACCATAGGAACACACCATAGGAACACACCATTAACATACATGGAAAAGAATCAGGTTCATACTAATGCCCCAGACCGGTTCTTTTAAACCACCAATATTTTCCGAAAAGATGAATAATTCTACATAAAAATTAAAAATCAAAGTTGAAATTTTGACTGGAAGTTTAGTTTCTTGGCAGTAGCTGAGGAAAATCTCGAGATATTTAAAAAAGTGCATTTTATGATCGAAACTACAGCAAAAATTGGAAGTGATGATATATAATGGAAGTTGCATGGGACAATGTATGCATCCACGACACGTTGATGAATTAAATAGAAATGATAAAATGCCTAATAACCTCAATTATTGGATTCGTGTCCAGGGATTGAGCTTTTCAGGCCTCAATATTCGAAATGTTCGATTATATGGTGGCCATAGAAATGAATGAAAATGTTACATAATCATTATGTTGGATTGTAAGTTTATAATAATACCGTGATAATAACATTGTATTTGAGTACAATTAAGTTTGAGTTGTGAATTTTGCACTACGTTCTTTGTTTTTGTCCTAGAATCTATCGCTAGTTTGGAAACATTTCTTTCTGATACCTGCAGTGTGACCTACATATATATACATCGACTTCTTACATCTTAATAATTTTTAAGCATAATTATTTCCTCAGTGTTTTGTGCTTTTGCCAGTACTTAATTTTCCTGCTTCGCTCAGTTAAACTATTGTCATTATCCTTCCAATTTATTACATACACGGTCTAAATCGCGGCCGCCGCGCCGGTGATCATGAATTACGACTTCTAAAGGATGTAATGCCGGCGAATCTCCCCGGGCTTCGCCGCTCTCTTTGCTGGACCCCTAAAGTGACCGATAGCTTAGGTAATCCAGTAACTGAAGGAATATTAATTTCTGGGATTAAATGATATGAACAATGCTATTATACAGTAATGTCGTCTAAAAACACGGAAGAGATGAAACGGAAGACATTTTATACAAACTATCATTTTGGTGATATATGTACATGACTCGGAATAAAATACCTATCGACGTCAAAGTAATGATGTGAGTGGTTCACACGACGTAGTGTTTGAGCCTTGAGGTTCAATGCGGCAGGCGAACAATTGCCGTAATGTGTTTCATTGATATTGAGTAGCAAGCTGGACTTCATAAGCCAATAATGCAGGAGCTTTTGACTTGTAAGGAATTTACACGAATATAATCGCTGATAAACTTTATTTGAGAATCCACAGGATAAATATTCGAAGGTTTTCGAAGGCAAGAGAATAAAAAGTGAAGAAGCAGTGGAGCAACTGCAACCAGAGAAAAAAACAGTCCGATTAACTGACAAACATAGTTCATGTATGCTTTATATGATCATATTCTGTATTCCAATTTATCTGCATATTATTTGACAGTGAGAAGAATCCCCAGCATTAATCTTGTGAAACTAAATACGGCAGCAGCAAACAGACGAGGAGTTCCTTACGACAAAGTTTCCGCAGAATGGGCGATGTGTGATGCGAGTCGTTATACTGTAACGTAACAAAGATGTCTTGAATTACAGTAAAAGATAAAGGACTGTTTAATTGAGCACTATGATGTCAAAATAATATAGTCGTTCAGTTAAGTGCGATCAAATATTGATTTAACCAACCTTCTAAATTATTGCCGATGGCTACATTTAGAAGTGGCATTAGATGCCATTCAGAGGTTTGACTTAGATAAAATGTGCAATGAAAAGTAATAGGTTGGCTCAACTCAGCTAATTTGGTAAATAAGTTAATCACTAATAAGGTTAAGGTTCTAGACCGGCAATAAGGCCAAAGTAATTAATGCGTCATAGACGACTTCGCAATGTTGGGTCCAATCAAAGGAGTGAATTTGCATGCATTAATAGGACTAGGGACCCATTCCATGCATTAAATCAAGTAAACAGAGAGAAAATGCACATGTCATGCTGTACAATATACAGCAATCCAGAATGCACGATTTGTCACCTCCTTCCAAGCCTTTAACTGTTAATTCCTTATCCTAGACGTATGGGTACGTACACAGTGACAGCTGGTTGCCAGCGTGCTGGTTACCTGCTGAGGCTGGCGCCTGAAACAAGCGCGAGAGGTTCACAGAGGAAGCAGGTTGCCTGCGTGCTGGTTACCTGCTGAGGCTGGCGCCTGAAACAAGCGCTAGAGGGTGTTCACAGAGGAAGCAGGAAACAAGCACGCTGGCAACCTGCTTTCACTGTGTGCGTATTAATTAATTAGTGATTATTAATTGATTAATGCGTATTACTTGTAATAATACTAATAATATCACTAATCGTGATAATTCTAAACTGATAATAATTAGTGCGTATTAATTAATTAATTAGACAGTGATTAATTGATCACTGTCAATGCTCATCATGTGTTATTACCTCTCAAAAATCCCTCCAATCGAGTGCAGACTTCTCGCCACCTTTATAAAGTTGTTTGTTTACATGAAAACCTCTACACAACACCACAAAGGGCCAAAGAAACAAAGAAAATGGAGGCTTTAAAGGTAAAACTAATTTAAAATGACCATATGCCAAGCAGGTTGAGCAGATAAGAATGTGCAGTACATTCCGGTAAATAGGTATAAGCAGGTTGTCGGCAGAAGCCTATTCGTACAGGTTTTCACTGTGAACACTTACATTATTATCCTATGTTCATTCTTGTGGCAGGTTGGAGCAGGTTGCCGCGCGGGCAAACCTGCTTCCACTGTGTACGTACCCTAAAGAACTATTCAAACTTACTCTTCATGGTCTTCCTTAAATTAAAACGGAACAGAATTTCTTATAGACTGCAATGCCGATGTTCACGAACTTATGACGAAACACCAATGAATAATGTCTAAAAATACACTTGAGAGAAAAGAACTCGAACTGCTTTCCCTCTGCGATTAGCGTACAATTTTCCTAACCAGTCTTGCGCAACAACAAAAAATGTTTAACAACTTTTCAGGCTCAAAAAGTTTTGAATAATGCCGTTGTTCTCTGTGCGAACAAAAATGTGCAAATATGCTATCCTCTACCCGTAATTTTTTTTAAAACATGTTTTCGTGTTGAAATCACTGCTGGGTTGATATGAGAGAGTACATGTACCTTATATACGGTCATTTTCGGAGCGTGCCCTTCTTAAGTGGTCTGCTCTGTCATGTCGATAAGAGGTGGACTTACCACGGCGATTCGTCGATAAGTTTACTGATAAGACAGTCTGTCGTTATGAACAATTGTATTTGCGATAATTATTGTATTTGTGGCTTTTTAATTGCATTTAAAAATAAATTTATGTTTTATGAAATAAAAACTCGTAGAAACATCGCAGGTGCGCAATATTGTGATGCTTGAATTTTTAGAAAGTTTTGTGAACATTTTGCATAATTATTAACCATCAAGGGCCCTAAATAAAGAAAGCGTCTTTGCTTAATGTGCATCATCATCTTCACTGAATGATAAAACTCATATTATAAAGAAATCTACAGACCAGTTTGGGGGAGAAAATCGTTGATTTGCAGCTAAGGTAAAATCAAAAAAAAATTCTATAAAATTAGTAAGTGAATAAATGGATACCAAAATTGTTGGTGTCAATAACAAACAAAAACAATAAGAAACAATCGAATGTAAAAAGTAGCTGAAGTGCTGTGGATTGTACTAATTTAAACATTTGATATCAACGAAGAGCTAAGCCAGTGGTTCCCAAAGTGGGCGATATCGCCCCCCTAGGGGCGGTGGAAAGATTTTGGGGGGCGGTAAGGAAGAAGAGAGCGGTAGGGGGGCGGTAGTCCGAAGTCGATGTCAGAAGTTCGAACTTATGTTTGACGATTTGTACACAACACATGCAGCACATGACTCCCAGCGATGGTTTTGTCACCCAGATCTGTTTTTTAACCTCTCCTGGGTTTACGTCTTGGACAAATTAACGGCCGGTCTCACGGACAATTTCCAAATTCAATGATCAAGGAATATCTCTCAAACTAATGAACTTAACTCCATGAAACTTAGTCCACGTATTCATTAGGACCTAACGATAATGTTTAGCTCGGGAAAATTGTTTGAATTTTGCCATCGTTTGTTTTTGCCATAGTTATATGGCAATACGGGCCGATATTCACAGTGATCAAGTAATTTCTTCAACACTACTGAACAGATTAGAACGAAATTTTGAATTTACAGTCCTAACTACCGAACGATAATGTTTAGCTCGTGAAAATTCTTTCGATTGTGCCTTTTCGTTCGCGAGTTTTTTGTTTCATTTAACCTACATTCGTGATTTAAACAGCAATACGCGTTTAAATTCGCAGTAATCAAGAAATTTTTCCAAACTGCTGAACAGATTTGAATGAAACTTGGTATTTAAAACCTAACCTCAGCAACGGCGATGTATGATTTTTTTCGTTTTGCCTTCGTTTGCGAGTTACAGTATATGGCTATACGTATACGGCTATAACTATACGGCTCTTGGTTGAACCGGCCGGTAGAAAAGCCGGTTGTTCCTCCTATATCTGTATAACTCGCGAACGAAACCAAATTGATAAAATTGTCACGAGCTAAACATCACCGTTGAGTGGTTAATTATATACCAAATGTCATTGAAATCTGTTCTGTGGTTTAGAAGAAATTTTTTGATCGCCGCGAATTCTGTAGTTTAGAAGAAATTTCTTGATCGCCGCGAATTTAAGTGACAAATTATACCCGGCGATACGGGCCGAATATAAGGAAGTGTGAAATCACGAATGAAGGTGAAATAAAAAAAAATTACGAGCTAAAAATCACCGTTAGTTTCTGATGAATACATGTTCGAAGTTTCATAGAGCTGCGTTCATTAGTTTCGAAGATATTACTTGATAATTGAATTTGGAGATTGGTCGTGAGACCGGCCACGAGTCCGGCCGTAAATTCGCCCGAGACGTCCTATATAGGTTTCTAGTGCTGAAACAGTTAAAACAGCTGAAAAACATATTGGTTCACTAAACGGGGCTCTATTTGTGAAATACACATTTGTGTTTAACCTTCCTCTTTTAAAATTGCAGCATACTAAATTTCAAGAAAGAGGCTGTGGGGGGCGCTAGGAATTCACTAGGGAGCCAAAGGGGGCGCTGGCCTGAAAAAGTTTGGGAACCACTGAGCTAAGCGAATAGCAAGCTGCTCGACAAATTCAGGTCAAAATTTTACTGGTACAATAATTTATTTAAAAGATTAACCAAATCCTTTTTTCGAGACCCATCGCCTGAATGTAGAATTTAGCATGTATTATGTATACGGCGGCAAGGGGGCCTCTGAGCAGGTGCTGAGTTTCCAGGGCGGCGCAGTATAATTAAGGGCTCCTCAAGAGGCCCCTTATCTTACCATGCAAGAATTAAAGCAACCTGCGCTCGCTGTGCCTGAAGAATAGGGCAGCCGTGAGTTGGAGGCTAGATATTTCAAATTACTTCCTAGCTTTTCCCCACGATAAATTCTTCATAAATATTATTCATGTGCATAACATTTGCGAGCACATGAATTTTCCATGTGCATTGCGAATGAATTACCTGCTAAAGGTTAGCCCCACCCCTTTAAAGCATCATAACACATCGAGTTTTGCGAGTTTTATTGTGCAAATGGTGGCAAACGAATCGACTTGGTCTCAGTAATCAAAATACAATAGACTGCAGTGAAAATGTAATTATTAACGGAGAAAATGAAAAACACATGTTTTGCACCGACGCACATGGTTAGCCCCACTTTGTACACTTTGACATTTCAGGCAAAACAAAACATACGTCAGCTGCAAAACTAAAGGTTATTTACCGATAAGCTCCCCATTGGCTTTGTAGACATCCAAACACCGCTTTTCCATGCCCTGAGGCAATTTACGAAAGGTAATTGGGGTCCAGATTGGACCAGGCGGCTTGAATGGCCAACTCGAGTTCTTCCAACGTGTCATACTGCTTCCCGCAGGCGTAGACGATCCCAGCCATGTACCCCCAGACGTTCTCAATGGGATTCAGGTCGGAAGACTTGGCTGGCCAGTCCATAACCCGGATTTTGGCATGCTTGAAGAAGGCCTTGGTCGTGCGCGCCGTGTGGATTGAGGCATTATCTTGTTGGAAGATGGCGCCGCGGCGAATTTGGTGGCGGATGACGGGAAGTAGATGATCCTCGAGCGTTTGGACATAGTCGTCCGCGCACTGGTTGCCTTCGAGGAAGACGAGATCGCTCGTCCCGTTTGCATGAAAGGTCCTCCGTACCATTACACTGCCCCCGCCATTTTAGCGGCTAAAAGCTGCCTTTGGATCATTCCCGCGGCAATGCCAACAGTACTTTAGACCATCTGGGCCATCCAAATTCCATTTCTTCTCATCAGAGAAGATGGTTTTGGCCCAGGTGTCATCACTAGTACTTGTATACTTTGTGCCCGCAGGCGACCCTGGCATGCTTGTGAGCCTCGGTCAATTGGGGGGCCTTGTTCATCTTCACGTATTGGAAGATGCCGGAGGACGCGAGGGTGCAAAAGACGGTGGACTTAGAGACATTGAGCTCCAACTTTTGGACTAGTTTGGGCGCGCTCAAGTCGCCGGGCGCCGCAACTCGGAAGAGGCGACGCGTGTCACGGGCCGACATCTTCTTGGGGCGGCCTTTGGTGTGCCGCTTTCCGTAGTTCACGCGGTCCTTGAGATAGTTGGAGATGGCTTTGCGGCTACACCCCACTTGCGCCTTTATTTGACGCAGGCTAGGAAGCTCGCCCTCAGGCAGCGCCATCAGGGCTTGAATGGCACCTTACTGAAACTCAGGTAGAGGCTTTCCCGCGCCCATTTCTTGCCTAGGTGAGCATAAGATCCGTGCACAACTACTACGCTATGAACGCACCCTTTGCAGCGAGTCTATACGCTGCGTCCTGTCCGAAAGAGCGCCAAACTTGCAAAGTGGGGCTAACCTTTTGCGTCGGGGCAAAAACACGGACCGCTTGATTTTTCCGCCAGTTATTAATTTTTTCACTAAATTTCACCTGCTATAGATTGCAGAGCGCAAGATAAATCGTTTGCCACCATTTGCACGTTAAAACTGGCAAAACTCGATGTGTTATGATGTTTTAAAGGGGTGGGGCTAAACTTTTGCGTCGGGCTGTATGTGCATTGCATGATCAATATCCCGTTTAGTTGTCCATGAATACAAAGATCAGTTATTCGCCTCGATGTAAATGTTGAGGATTTGAGAATTGATCTTGTGTATTTCATCAAGTTTAATATTGCTGAACAAGTATAATTATCGTTTATGAATAACAATACTTTAAAGCAATAATTATTATCTCCAATATATACTGTACCTCATAAAATATCATAATTTTAATGTCTTGAAAAATTTATGTAACAAGATCATTAGTATGAATACTGTTAATAAAGTGGGCGGCATAAACGGAAACAACCGATGACTCGATTGCATAACGAAATGATTTTCGATGACGATATCAGCGATCTAAATACAGGTTCTGACATATTATCGTAGTTTTTGATAACCGTCAGAAATCATCTAATTCTTTACGAGTTTCTAAGTCATAGAAATTCATGGATGAAAAAGTTTTTCAAAGACTTTATAGCTAAATAATCAACCTTAAGTAACTTTCACTAATATTATACTCTGTTGATTGTTTACAATTTTTCCTACAATTCATGAAGATGAAGCGTTAGTTTTTTCTCGCCGTGCGAATTCAAAGTATGCAAAGGTTTCACGTGGTCCGTCAATATTTGTTTTTTGAATCCTAATTCTCAGTTCTAAACCAACATGAAAATCTCTTGGCACTCGTGAACGGATTGCTTGTTATACTGAAGGAAGAGCAATAATGTATTTTTTAACACCAGATACATGAAGGCGCACTCTATATTATAGACGGGATCGAGTTTTGAATTATTCGCAGCGCCCTTTGAATTTGGTATCATTTAAAACAACGATATTGATTTCATATATGATCCATTTAGTAACCGCATGAACATGAATGAATTGATCATAACGCAACTTTTTCTTAAATAAATTTTAACTGATGAATGATTTATTGTAAACACTGCAGCATACTTACGAAAATCGAGCTACAGGAATACCTTGAGTTAATTCGAGACAAGAGAGAAATCGAACTGAACTCGATGACTAATATTTTCTGTGAACTATAAACAGATAAGAGGTTTAATTGGTCTACAAAATATGAGGGTTGTGAGTGCGAGTGTGTTGATGGTGTTGCTTGCGGCCACCCTCGCTGCCGCGGCGCCTAAAAAGTGAGTGAGATAAACAATTAACAATGATTACTGAGAGATCATTAATTTGGATAATATGTTTCATAATTGGTCACATCATGATTAATGGAGCATTGGAAAAAACACTTCAATGCAGCGCTAATGACGCTGGAATTTCGTTTCTAAAGATCAGTTGACAATAAATCTGAAACAATTCCCATGGATTATGTGAGTTTGAACAAGCTCTGGATTTTGTCATATTACAATTTTAGTGATACAAATGACTGTATTAGCTTAAGATTTCATGAGTATTGTCACAAATTGCACATAAAATCTTACATGTCAATAATTACAGGCAAGGATCAGACTACAAACCGCTCCCCACGGTCAAGAAAAGCATAAACGGCCGGGCTGCTGAAGTTTGTACTACTCCGGAATGCACATTGTAAGCAGCTGCCATCATATAGAAGCGCTCAACCTAACCGTTGATCCTTGCGATGATTTCTATACCAGTTTACTTGTGGAGGTTGGGAGGCCAAAAATCCAGTTCCAGATTCATCGTCCAGCTGGTCTCAATTCAGTGTTCTGGATGACCAACTGAGCAATGCCATTAGTAAAATCTTGGTTGAACCTGTCGGTGTACAATTAGAACCATCACCCATCAACCAAGCGAAATGGCTCTACGCCCAGTGCATCGACGAAGATGCCATCGAGTCTGCAGGGACAACTCCTTTGACAGTCATCCTGGCTGAAAACGGAGGATGGTCAGTGACCAGAGGAGCTTGGGTTTCTGCATTATTTAACTGGGAATTTACAGTGGTATACGGAATACGAAATTACGGCCATAGTGCATTGTTGGATGTCTGGGTCATCGCAGATGAGAAGTCAACACCTGAAACTGCTCTGTATTTAGACCAGACCAGCCTTGGCATGTTAAGATCTGCTTTGACCGACCAAAGCAACTTATACGAAGAACGTTTCAAAGCATACAAAGCTTACATAAAAACAACAGCTCAAAAAATCTCTGCTGATTTGGGTGAAACCGTCGCTGAAGCTGATTTGGATCAGCAAGATAGAAGAGACATTGAGAGAATGTATAACCCAATGACCATTGGTGATTTGGATGGTCTAATGACAGGATTTTCAGTCTCCTGGCTAGCTATGCTCAACTTCATGTTCGCGAATGTTGGGATTACTCCAGAAAGTTTGTCAACAATTATCGTTCAAGAGATTGAGTACATCCAAAAGATTGGAGATTTTTTAGCAGTCACCGATCAAACGGTTATTGCCAAATATTTACTGTTGAGGTTTGTGAAGAATGGATGTTCAACGAATGGATGGACGATGAAACTAAATTTCTGGCTTTCTGACGCCATCAGCAAGTTCATCGATTACTCAGATTGGTATGAAGAACCCTATGGTCTGGAAGATTACTATGTCCTCCTGACAGGATAGCCACCACTTCATCACATTTTGAAAACGTCAAAGCTGCCAGATAATTGCAAAGTCCACAACTGCACATTCCACTTGTTCACATGCCATCCGAATTTTGAGTTTTTGAGAACAATGGGCGGCCGACTTATAACTGGCCATTAATGTTATCGAAACGTGTTACTGCAGTAGTCTTTCTCACATCATACGGGCTTTTGCCTTTATCGCAAAAAATATAAACTTTTTCATAAACTGAATACACAGGTTGTGGTGGAGCAGTACAGAACTGGACGACCTGGGTGCTCCCACAGACAAGCAGCAATGGTTCATTTCCCCCACAACATTAACGCTTATGCTACGAGCCGGAGTTCAACTCCATCGCCTTCCCTGCCGGCATCTTACAGCCTGTTTTTACCGAGCCAGCAACCTGCAGGCCATAAACTACTGCGCTATTGGGCAGGTGTGTTAACTTCTATAAACTGAGACACTGCAGCGATGCCAACGTTTGAGTTTTAGTTAGGGAACGTTTATTAGACCTGCCAGCTTATATAAGTAAGTATTCTCTTGGTTATTTTGAACTGCAGAGTGGCAGCGAGCGTTAAATGGATCGTAATCCAAATTTATGCATGAATTGGTATTTCAGTGTAAAATCTACCACACTTGCATTATTGCTAAACATTGTCTTGCAGGTGATGGGCCACGAAATCACGCACGGCTTCGACGACCAAGGAAGCCAGAACGACATAGATGGTAACGCCATCCCGTGGTGGTCAAACACGACGCTGCAGGCGTTCAAGGAGAAGGCGCAGTGCGTCATAGATCAGTACGAGAGCTACACCGTGCCTGATATCGACTATCTACTTCCTGGGGCGCATGTCAATGGGATTAATTAATACGCAGGTTAGTTGGACATGTCTAGCATTATAGCAGATCCACGTCATTATAGCAGATGCGAATATCTAATATTGTAATGTTAGCAAGTGCATTTGCCCATTGCAGTATGCTATCAAGATGTGCATATCCGCGATACTTTAGTAGTACCCGGCAATGACAGCTGCTGTTGATGTTGAGACTGAGAGAGTCTCATTTAATGAGAATGAGACTTCTCATTACTTCTGCTCTTTTAGCAAAAAATTCAACTCGTGCGTGTATAGAAGTTTAATAAAAAATTTCTGAAAAATAACTTCAAATTTTCTCACAGTCATCTGCTGCTCTCATGGAGTCGAGCACATGCGCAATAGACATTCTACCACATTACCCAGGGAAGTGTTTGTAAGTCTACGTGTGCCAACATCGTATAGTAATATATCAATTATTGGGAACACTAGTTGCAATGAGTGCTGTTCGAGGTAGCATGAGTGTACCGTGGTTCCTTGTCTACTGAGTTATTCAGTGTTAATGCGCAGATTATAATTGAGCATTCCTCTTACCTTTATTGTCAACTGGCATATATATCATCTAGATTTAATAATAATAATTAAGTTATGTGCGGATATTCTTGATAAGCGTCTCGCCNGGCCTACGTGAGGCATACTTGGTCTATTTGAGGCATACTTGGCTTACGTGAGGCATACTTGGCCTCACGTAATCCGAATGTTTTTGCACAAAACAGCGATCATTCATATTAATCAAATCCCAAAACTTAGAGCGCAAGATTTTACTATTATAGAGCTTCGCTGAAAATATCAGCTGCGAGGTCGTAATTAATATCTTATTTTTTACGGTCATCCACACGGCCATGATGGCCGAAAAAAATTCTCAATATTCAAGATGAACTTGATAGTTTAGTACAGTATCTTCGGTGTTGAAGAAAAGGCCTGTCGCCGATTCATGTATTTTTCTTGATTAGTTCACAGATTTAAAAGACTGGCCTTTTGATTAAATCTTCTCTACGGACGGTAGGTTTAAAATCGTTTCTAGACTTTCAGTTGGTCCGTAGGGCACTAGGCATTTCCAGACTAAACATATGCTCCTTCAAGGCCTAGTCTAGTCTGTTCTTGAACGCGTTTATACTCGGAGCATCCACAATATCTTCAGAAAGGCTGTTCCACATGTCGGAAACTCGAAGCGAGAAAAGTGTCGTCGCATGGATGAGTTGCACCCCAGTTTTTTTAGTTTATAGCCGTAGCCCCTGGTGTTCTTGTTCCAAATTCTAGTATTCCTCCTGGGACCTTGTATACAAACCATGAGTATACTTGTATACTTCAATGAGGTCACCACGCAGGCAACGATAACAGAGACTGGGAAGCTTCATAATCTTCAATCTTTCTTCATAAGACTTGCCTTTAAGCCTGGAATTATCCTTGTTGCACGCCTTTGAACACTCTCGACAAAAATTTTTGTCCTTTTTAAGTTTCGGTGACCACACAGCGTTTCCAAACTCTAGGTTCGGGCGCACAATCGGGCCTGCTAGGTTCACAATTTATCAGTAAGTAAGTAGATATAAGTATGTGCTGCTTAGAAAAGGACATACCTGGCATGGCTTTAAAATGCCATGAAGAATTGTCTGCCCACATATATACATTTGACAGTTGCTACTCATTGGTGAATCATTCAAAATATGTTGGTCAACTTCCAAGATAACACCAATAATAATGACAAGTCCATAACAGCTAAAGTCCATATAATTGAATTGTGATTTGAAATTACTTTCCTGCGTCCATACTTGATTGTACGATTCATTTTTAATTTGCAAGAATATGCACCTGTTTTCTCATTTATTTATATTCCAGACTGCTTCTCAATGACAGATAATAACAGGAAGAATCACCGACATGTGGAACAGCCTCCCCAATGACATCGTTGGCGCTCCAACTATGAACGCGTTCAAGAACAGACTAGATAAAGCTATGGAAAAATATATGTTCAGATTTGAAATGCCCAGCACCATATCGAACCCGGTGGAAGTCTAGTAGCTACTTGAAGCTATCGTCAGTCATGAAAATATCCAGTCAAATGAAACGATATTAGATCTTCTGTGAACAAGGCACGAAAAGGAAAAGAATCGGCGACAGGCCACATATATCAGGCCTACACTGCAGCGCCGAGATCACTATGTTATGTTATGTAGGCATATAGCAGTCGAGGTCGACTGTACAATGCAATCAGAATAAGTATGACGAGGAAGGCTAATTTGAATAAACGGAAAGAAATTTAGCGGAAATGTTGCGGTATCCCACTTTCTTATTCTCTGATCGATATTAGTAACTCGGCTCCTAATTTTTCTATATTATTTTACTTTATCCTCTATTTCTTGTCGTGGTTACTCATTTGCCATCCTGATTCCTCAATTGATATTTATTTTTGAATTCTTCGCACCGCATTCATTCCTACTTACTGAGCAGGGTGAGAACACCGCTGACAACGGCGGCCTACGTGAGGCATACTTGGCCCACGTGAGACATACTTGACCTACGTGGGGCATACTTGGCCTACGTGACGCATACTTGGCCTACGTGAGGCATACTTGGTCTATTTGAGGCATACTTGCCTACGTGAGACATACTTGACCTACGTGGGGCATACTTGGTCTATTAGAGGCATACTTGGCCTACGTGAGGCATACTTGGTCTATTTGAGGCATACTTGGCCTACGTGAGACATACTTGACTTACGTGGGGCATACTTGGTCTACGTGAGGCATACTTGGCCTACGTGAGACATACTTGACCTACGTGGGGCATACTTAGCCTACGTGACGCATACTTGGCCTACGTGAGGCATACTTGGTCTATTTGAGGCATACTTGGCCTACGTGAGGCATACTTGGAACAGCATTTGTAAATAAGTTTGCCGCGTTAAATACACGTAAAACGAATTTTCCATCAGACTCAGCAAACACTAACAACGGCTACTGGTTAGGCGCTACCAACTCAACTGGTACGCACGTCTGGCAGTGGAGCGACGGCTCAGCAGTGCAAATGGGCGCTCCGTTCTGGGCTTACGTGAGTGACGAATTGTGTCATTCGAATTCAGGATAATCAATACGATGAAAAATAATACATATAGAATTTAATTCGGGCTACGTTTACTACAGTTTAAGCATTTTGAAAATTTTCTTAAAAAAAAACAGAATTTAACGGGCCGCATGCCTGAGGCCAGCATTTCCTAACTTTGCCTTTGGTTTACTTTCTCTTCCGTGAGCAAGCAGGCTAGAGACACAGTCATCTCTAAGGCTAAATTTTTACTGCATAAAAAAGTGCATAATCCACGTAAATCCACAAACACTACCTCAAAGAACTCGCTCTTAAGTAGGCAGAAACGCATCTGACCTAACCTACTTAATTACGCGTTAGCCCAATTTTCCACCTTAAACAAACCTGACCAAACCTAACCTCATCAGCTGCGGAAAGTGGCAAGGCGAGTCAAGTCCACAGGCAGGTGTTTTTGTAAATTCTCATGCTTTCTCAGAATGCTCCATCGAAAGGTATATTCGAACCCAGTGGCGGGAGGACAGAGGACTGTGCAGGGATCTATTCCTCTCGGGACTGGGCGGTCCATGACATATCTTGTAACATCAACTTTAATCCTGTGTGCTCGAGAAATCCGGTGAATGGTGAGGAATTCTGTTTGAATATCATTCAACACGAAGAAAGTAGCATTTTCTACTTGCATATCCATCCAGCTACTAAATGTGTAGAAAGTAGCAGTAACACATTAATTAATTAATGCAGTTTTACATCATATTAATCATTTCCTCGCAGGCCTATGCGCACATCCATTTGTTTTGGTGGGCACGCAATGCGTTCACGTAATTCTCACGAAACACACCTGGAGAGACGCGCGCACTCAGTGTGGATTGGTCGGTGGTGACTTGGTCATTCTAGATGACTACGACAAGTACAGAAAGCTGTTCCTCTACTTCCAGCAGCGTAAAGGTGACAAAATACATGGCAAATTCAATTTTAATTGATAAATTTTGATAACATAAATATTAGAGTTTTTTTAATTTTATCTGACTTTAACAATAAAGGTTGAATTAGAGATTACAAGAAGAAGGATCTGTTAATGTAAGGGACCCTTTTTTAAATTAAATTGTTTCTATTTTCCTACATCTTACAGCCCTGAATGGCTTGGGGTATAAGATGTCGCATCAATAAGTTGTTTCTAAAAAAATATGAACATATTAAGAGTATGTATCATGCCATGCTTCAAAATTGCTCAGATTTATAATTCATGATGTTATTTCAGAGGCACTGTTTTTTTCTTGCCTTTGAAAGATTGGAATCTAAGCGTACTGTGGATTGGCGGCTCAGACTTAGCCATGCAGGGACAATGGCGCTGGGTTGACGGTTCGAAGATGGCCATGGGGCTGCCATACTGGGGGACGGTGAGAGATATTATCATATTTAACAATAGTGAAATAAACTAAACATGGCGCTCAATAATCGACGGAATAATTACTTCAACTATTTTTCAAATATCTTGAACGTTGTCAATGCTAATCAAGTATAATGTATTGGTACTGAGAGTTGCCCTTAAGGCCACTGTTAAATTCTATTGTAAATTGTAAGAATTTCGGTGTTCAAACGCTTGTTGTTAAATCGTTCATATGCTTGTCATTTAAAAAACCATATATCATTTAAAATCAAATCACATATCGCTCCGCATATCAAAAATTAAATACATGTCTCTAGGAAAATTTTTTGAACAAAAGAAGCGCCGCCACATATAGGTACTGAACATGCGTGAGAGTCAAACTTGAGATATCGGAGACATTCAAGATTTTGGTGCTTGACCAAACTTAAGGACATTTATGCTCTAAAAGTTCTCCGTGAGCATGAAGTCCTCCGCTATCATGAAGTTCTCCGTGATCATATGAAGTCCTTTGTAATCATGAAGTTCTCCATGATCATGAAGTCCTCCGTGATCACGAGTTCTCCGTGATCACGAAGTTCTCCGTGATCACGAAGCCCTCCGGGATCATGAAGTTCTCCGTTATCACGGAGTTCTCCGTGATCACGAAGCGTTATCCACGGTGCAGCCTCCGTCAAAAACTCGCACTTGTTTGAACTCGGGCTCCTCCTGCGACCATTGCTTGTTCATCTTTGTAGTCCACGACAGTTAGCTTAATTTTCATTTGGTTACCTTTTAAATAACATGAAATAGTGTGAATTTACTTGGATGTTCTTTGTTTCTATCATTCTTGTGTCATTCCCAATTTTAGCAAACAAATAATCAAGACTCAAGACAATAAGTTGTTTCAATACAGAATATTCAGTGTGGAAAAGTTTTTTGAAAATTAAAACTTTTTTCACCAAGTTTGCGTGGAAAAAATGCGGCTTACTTGATTAAAGCCTCCGTTAGTGTGATAGAAGTTTATCTATTTAAAAATATTTTTCAGTTTTATTAATTCAGTAACTTGCCTATTTTCAACCGTTGTTTCCTATCATTGTCAACCATATATAAGGTCACACGTTGAAACTTAACTATTTACTTTCATTAGACTGCTGTTGGACATCTAGAACCCGACAACCCTGGCGTGGAGAACTGCCTGGAGCTCAGTTCCGTGTGGATGTACAGGTTCTCCAACACGCTGTGCTCCAACACGCGACGGGTGATCTGCGAGGCGCAGCCCCTCTAGATCTGCGAGGCGCAGCCCCTCTAGATCTGCGAAGCGCAGCCCCTCTAGATCTGGGAGGCGCAGCCCCTCTAGACCTGCGAGGCACAGCCCCTCTAGATCTGCGAGGCGCAGCCCCTCTAGATCTGGGAGGCGCAGCCCCTCTAGACCTGCGAGGCACAGCCCCTCTAGATCTGCGAGGCACAGCTTTTTCAGATCTACGAGACATAGCCCTTCTAGAGGAATACTTATCATTTAAAAATGCTGCAAACTCCCTGAAGAACGCACCATGCATAAGAACACACTATAATAACACACCATAAGGACACACCATAAGAAAAAACATAAGAACACACCATAAGAACACACCATTAACATACATGGAAAAGAATCAGGTTCATACTAATGCCTTAATTAACCGGTTCTTTTAAACCACTAATATTTCCCGAAAAGATTAATCATTCTACATATAAAATAACAATCACAGTTGAAATTTTGACTGGGGTTCAGTTTTTTGGCTGTTTCTGGCTAAGGAAAATCTCGAAGTATTTAAAATAAAGTGCATTTTATGGTCGGAACTGCAGAAAAATTGAACTGGTGAAATGCAATTGAAGTAACATGGGACAATGTATTCGTCCACGACACTATGATGTGCTAAATAGAAATGATGAAATGCCTCAAAACCTCAATTATTGGAACAGTATCTAGGGACTGAGCTTTTCAGGTCTCAATATTCGAAGGATTCGATTGTATGGTGGCCATAGAAATGAATGAAAATATTAAATAATCATTGCTGTAGGAATGTAAGTTTATAATAATACCGTATTACTACCTTTGTCTTTGCCTGGAGTACAATTAAGTTTGGATTGTGAATTTAGCACTACTGTTTTTTGTTATGAATAACTGAGATTTTACTTCGCTTTCGCTGCATTCAAGAATTTAATTACAAGTCCTAGAATTTATCGCTAATTTGAAAAAAGTTATTTCTGATACAGTCTGGCCTGCATACATCGATTTCTTGCATCCTGGTTGTGTTTACGCATAATTATTTTCATCAGTGTTTTGTGCTTGTGCCATTACTCAATTCTCCTGCTTCGCTCAGTTAAACTATTATCATTATTCTTTTAATTTATTACATACTCGGTTTAAATCGCGGCCACCGCGCCGATGATCTTGAATAACGACTTCTAAAGGATGTAATGCCGGCGAATCTCCCCGGACTTCGCCGCTCTCTTAGCTCGACTCCTAAAGTGACCGATAGCTTATAGCTAGGTAATCCAGTAACTGAAGGAATATTAATTTCTGGGGAAGAAATTTATTAGAAGTGGCATTAGATGCCATTCAGAGGTTTGACTTAGATAAAATGTGCAATGAAAAGTAATAGGTTGGCTCAACTCAGCTAATTTGGTAAAT